AAAATGTCCTTCTTCAATTTCCGTAAGATCTTCAAGTTGGGCAGCGAGAAGAAGAAAAAGCAGTACGAGCACGTGAAGAGGGACCTGAACCCCGAGGAGTTTTGGGAAATTATCGGCGAGCTGGGCGACGGCGCCTTCGGGAAGGTGTACAAGGTAGGAGCGAGGGGAGGGGAAGTGGCGCGCCCCCGCCGCGGCGCCCGCGCCCCGCGCCCTTTCCTGTGCCGGCCGCTGCTCGGACTTGGCCCAGGCGCCCGCCGGGAGTCGCCGCGAGAGCCTGGCTGCAGTGTCAGGCTGGACAAAATGGGGTCTGGATGCCCTCTCCGGAGGGGCCGCTCAAGGCAGGCGGGCGAGCCGGCCCACGCTGTCAAACTTGCAAGGGAAGGAGGCCGTTCTTGAATCCCAGAGGGATCGGGGGTGGGGGGTGGGGTGGGGTGGGGGGCTCCCAAAGGCTGTGCTGTCTGAAACGCATTCACACCTTTCCCAGGGGCTTTCGGATGGTCCCTGCCCGTTCGCATTGGTCTGACTGCGGGAACGGACTCAGCGCCTCCTCCCTGAAGGGTGTTTGTGGGGCTGTTTCTAGCTGGTACCTACTGCCCGGCTGGCTCCCTTTTGGGCCGAAAGCGCCAAATAAACGATCGTTGCTGGCAGGCTATTCTTGAGTCGGTTGCTTGACAACATACTGTACAACGGAATGGAATTTCTGATCCGAAATTTCCAGCAGAAAACCTTCACCGGGTCCTCGTTTCTAAATATAATTTTAGTGTGTTTGGTTTGTAAGTCAGCCCGGATGCCTTTGAAACGAAACGCACATATTCAGTGATGGTTATTGTAGTGAGATATTTGGGGTTTCTACCTTGAAGGGCATTCATGTTAAACTGTTTACTGCCCCCCCCCCTCCCCAACCCCAGCATAGGAGCCCTGGTGGTGGTGGTGGTGTAGGAGAGAGAGAGAGGGAGAGCAGGAAGCGCTCTGAGTGCTCACCTAAAGGTCAGCAGTTGGAACCAAGTCGCTGCTCAGTGGGGGAAAGATGAGGCTTTGCACTTCCATAGACATTTACAGTCCACTGGGTGGTTCTCTGTCATGTAGTGTCACTGTGAGTCAGAATCAACCCGATGGATGGCAGTGAGTTGAGTTGGAGTGTATGAATGATGTCATCGGAATATTTTCTTCCTGAAGGGTGAGATTTTAAAAAATGAGACAGTGTAGGGGGAAGGACCCAGAGGCGTTGCCTAGAAGTGGGAAACATAAATAAATACTTGGTGTTTGTACAGAACTTTGCAGTTTTTCAAGCACTTTGATGTCATGGGGCTGCCCTCAAAATCCTGTGATGTAGGCAGGTCACATTTCACAGATGAGGACATTGCCACCCAGTCAGAGCTGGAACGTGTGTGTGTTTAATGTGTCTGGGTAGAAATAATAGCATTTCTCTTACTTCCTAAGCACTGTTACACTTTTGTTTGCCCTCGCCCTGCCTCGAATGCCTCTTCTCACACCCCAGTCCTTCTCATTCTTCAAAGCTCTGCTTAGCTGTCATTTCTGACTTATTCAGGTGAAACAGTCCACTCCTGGGTACTTCGAAAACACCTTATTCATGTGGTTTGTGACACTTTCACATATGCTTAATGTGTTTCTGTTTTGAGAATATGATCAGGGGCCAACAGTGATGCATGGTTGGTCACATCACTTGCTGGAAAGCATAGTACATTTCTGTGTATTTGTGGAAATGTACAACTGCATGGTACTGATACTGTTATATCTACGTAGCCCTTGGGTGATGTGAAAGTTGGCATGGGACCCTGAGTCTTAGCCTTTGTGTGTGTGGGAGAGTGGATAGGAGCTCACTTCCAGTGTAGGGGGGAGATCACTCCTGGGAACCATGCCCAGCATGCAAGTCCTGGCTGTCACAAATCAGAAGCACTCTAGTGGCACAGTGAGTTTAGCATTGGTCAGATGTTTGAACTCACTAGCTGTTCTGCGGGAGACTGAGGGGGCTGTCTGTTCCGGTAAAGAGTCAATCTTGAAAACCCTTTGGCACAATTTGCATTGTCCTGTAAGGTTGCCATGAATTGGAGTCAGTTCCACAGCAGTGGGTTTGCTTTTCGTCACAAACCAGCTTTGTGGTCTTGGACAAAACTTGTAACTTCTCTGGACCTCTGTTTTCATAGCTGTAAAATCATAGATTTCCCTAAATGCTCAGGTAGATTGCTTTACCATTAGTAGTCCGGAGTGTGCATTTAGCTAAACCCATGGCTGTTGGGTCTGTTCTGACCCATAAGGACCCTGCAGGACAGAGTGGGGCCATAGGGTTCAACGGTTGTGAAGTTTTACAGAAGCAGTGCACTACAGCTAGTCAAGGCAAAAATAAATCCCAAGGCATCTAGAATCTTGTAATTAAAAGGAGAATGGCAATCATGGGTCTTTTCATAGTGTAAATGTGTTGTTTTATGAACTAGAGACAGTAACAACACTGGGTCTGCAGTTTGGATACATTTATTTATTTTATTAAATTTTTTATTTATTTATTTGGATTCATTTTTGGCTCTCACTAGCAGTGCATGTGACCTTGAGCAAGTATTCAGTGCTTCACTTACTGGCTCCTCAGTTGTGTGAGGATTTTTAAAAGGGCCCTCAAAGCCACTGCCATTGAATTGATTATGATTCATTTAATAAATAATATAAGGTTCAGGGAAAGGGCTCAATAAATGACAAAAATGACTGTGATTGTATTTAGCACTCATGGAAACACGCTAGGGGAAGCATCGAAAAGGGCGCAGATTGTAAACATTGTTGTCGTTTGCCCAGTTGGCATGGCCACACGGATGCTCTGGAGTTTCGTTCTGGTGACCCTTCCTAAATGTGTAAGGTATCTTCCTGTAGTGAGCCGGGGATTGAAAATAAGAAACTCAAAGTAGTTAAACTGGAGACTACAGCATTGTGTCAAGGTCAGTTTCTGTGGATTGGAGATGCCAGACTGCTGTGCTGGGCTATTTGAAGAGCATGAATTCTTTGTCTGCACCCCTTCTCTTCTGACCCCTTGCTCCCAGTGACCAGGAGAAGAGGTGGTTGCTTTTTAAAAAAAGACAATTTAAATTTATTTGTGACCTGGTTCATTTCTTTTTCATAATAGTTTTTGTTTTTAAAGATTCCGGAGAAAGTTTATGAAGGTCCTTCTGTACGGGGTGGGGTGGAAAGCCATCCAAGGTTATAGTATTCCCTGGAAGGCCTTCCCAACTTGATTCCAACTCTCATTTACTTAGGGAAATTTGTAACTGTTACAAAGGTTAAGTTATCCATAGGTCATTTTTGTGTATGTTTACTTTATTTGAAAGGTTTTCGGGATTTATTGTAGTTTTCCACTTAATACATTGTAACAAAGTTGTTTTAGCCTGTGTTGTAGATTTGTTTTTTCATTTAAGTGTAGTATTCTTTGGCATATAAATAGAAACGTGAGATATCCCACACAATTGTTTGTCTTTGGATTTCTTTGGCTTTTAATAGGGAAGAGCAAAAACAAACAAACAAAAAGAAGACATGAAATTATGCATGGAGTTGTATTTTTAGAAAGCTATTTTTTTGAGTAAGCTAATTGAAGCTGAACTGGCCATGTGCTAGATGAAAGTGATTATTTTTTTCCTAACCAAATGGGTGCGACAACTTTTTTGTTTGTTTAATAGTGCGATATAGAATCTTTGTATTGAGAAATATGTAGACCATACCTACATTTTACAGATAATAATAAACAGAGCACCCCAGACCTCCCTCCCCCTGTCCTAGCTTCTGAATCCAATCCCTTTTCTCACCCTGTCTGTTATTCTCTGCTTCTCTGTCTAGCTTACCTCTAAAGTGATTATCCCTGAACATGAACATTTAGTTTTGTGTACATATGAACTATATATGAAGGGGTTCATATTCAGTGTGCTCTTTTGCATTTTCCCTCTTTCAAAATCACCATTATGTTTGTGAGGTTCATCTTTATTACCTATAGCTATATTTGGTTCATTGCTTTAGTTGTGTAGTATCCCATTACTGCATATGAGTATCTATCACTAGTTATTTACCATTGTTAATTGTTCATGGAAAAGTCAATTGTTTCCAGAATTTGCCACGATACACAGCAGGTGCACATGTACATGAGTGCTGTATAGGCTTAATTCAGGAGTGCACTTGTTAGGTTGTGGGGTAGGCGGGAGAACTGTGGCAGCCTGCTTGCTTAAAGGTGTGTGTATAGCCTTGGAATCCCTATGGGGGCAGGTGTACTCAGCCCTTTGGGCCTCTGTTAGTTGGGATTGGCAGGAAGGCATTAGGTTTGGTTTTGGTGGATTATGCCTATCGGTACTTTTTCTAGGTGGTGTCAAACTAATTATACTCCCACCGTCGGTGTATGATCCTTCTTTTTTCTTTGCTCTGCATCTTTCTAACATTTGGTATTAGAATTACTCATTTTTAATTAACAAATATTTTCATTCTTATTTATTATTTAAAACATTTTTTGTCTCTTTTTTGCTCTCACGTCTGTTGTCCATTTTTCTGTTGGCTGCCTTTTTCATACTTGTTTGTGGTGTGTATGTATACTAAGGTGACCAGACGTCCCGCTTTTGGTGGGACAGTCCTGATTTTTGGAAAGAATGCACGACAAGCTAGGGAACGCTCTATTTGGTCCATATAGACCAAATTTTTAATCAAGAACATTTTCCCCCTCCCTCCCCGCTCCCCCCTCCCTC